GATGACTGGACACGGAAATTCAGCGTGTCGGCAATTTCAGCCCCTAATCGCATGCATGCAATAGCGCGCATTTGCCGATCACCGATGTAGAAGACTCAGTACAGAGCGTACAGTTTAGTCTGTGCTGCGAAATACACAACCGCGGGAGCGTATAACGTAGCACAGACCGCCAATAGCGTATAAACGCCTTATAAGTAAAATAAAAAAGGGAAGATATGCTCGCACTGGTATTCGGGAATACCCGGGAAAAAACATTCCCGCTCACGAGTAGATTCCACAAAGATGACATCGCGTGTCGAATGCACGGGGAATCCTTTCTCGTATCGCCATCCTTTACAGTGAGTGCGGCGGTCGATTTGATAGTTTCCCTGCGTATACTGTGTATTATCACGCGGCGCCTCGACATGGTTAGAGGGGTCGATAATACGTCTTTATAACAGCGGGGAGGGAGGGGGGAGGAATAGCTGCGCTGCGCTTCTGCGCTGTGCGGAATGCGTATAGGCGTTGTTAATTTCAACGCGCAGTCGTAAAATGTTACTCTGCTCGGAAACTAAAAAAACAGCATCAGTATCAACGGGGTGACTATCAATATAGTAGTAGTGATATATTTTCCGTTCTACTTGTACCGTCACACACAGTCGCGTCTTCACAACTAGATGGACTCTGTAGCGCATTGCCGTGCCGTGGGTGAATCGACGTGTAGTCGTGGACCCAGTCTAGAAAAGTCTAGCGGTTTTAGCGTCTGAATCAACTGTGCAGGCGTAAAATATCCAGCGTATCGTTTGCGGTTTCATCCTTTTAAGGCGCTCTACGAGACCCGGGGGGCCCGTTTTCCGTAACAAAATTAGCCTTTAGCATTAGTCTTAACATTAACCCTGTCTCGTAGACCTTGACAGAAACGCGATTAAATTACATGTAGCGTTCTCTCTCTGTAAGTTTCCCACATGTAGTGCATGAGGAAAATTCAACGTGAAGAACAATGTTAAGACTGGTTTTGTTTCTGGCAACGGGCCCCTGTGTCTGCAGGCAGGCTGTCTGTACAGGCGGGCTAGCTGCAGGCCTAGTGTATTTGCACCTGTACAATAACAGATAGCGATACCTGACACAGTGTGCAGCTATAGCTACAGGATGCGATCGCAGACAACTGCGCGCGTTTGATCTACGCTGACACGACGCCCGCAAATCTTCCTAATAGCAGAAGCGAGAAGGCTTTTGAGCGTGTGCGTTTCTCTCTCGTTCATTCTACGCTATCTCGCGATTTCTAGAAAAGCGTATTCCTCCACGACAACAAGGGTATCCAGTGAACGGTGTTCGGGTAAGTGGTTAGGTGTGGGTGGGTGGGGGGGGGAGTAGAATGGATATTACCAGGCATGTCATAATATAGACATAATAGTCACAGGCATTTGGAGCGTTTCAATAAAATATAATGCTAAATAAATACGAAATCTATTTACTACAAAGTCTTAATGTTCTATACTCTCGTTCACCTATTATTGCCGACAATTTCCTGTAAATGCGCGTCCATATGCTCATCTGCAACAAACGCTGGCTGCCGCCATGGCTGCCGCTGCACACTGACACATAAATATATATAATATATATGATGTATATATATATTTATGTGTCAGTGTGCAGCGGCAGCCATGGCGGCAGCCAGCGTTTGTTGCAGATGAGCATTTGGTCGGCAAATAATAGTGAAAGAGAGTATAGAAACATTAAGACTTTGAAGTAAATAGATTCGTATTTATTTAGCATTATATTTATTGAAAGCGCTCCAAGTGCCTTGATAATAGTGTTCCCCTGCATTGCACCCGCAGCCACCGAGCGAGGGGGCGCCTCGCCAAATCTCACGCCACACAGAAATTTGTCCAAAATCCTCGTGTGACGAAAATCACTGTTGTTCCATCAATAAACTACACTTTATTGAACTAAAATTGAAATAAAGCTTCAAACGTAAACCACAACGCCGCCGTACTTACGATACTGTCAACACCACGAATCTTGGCAAGGCATATATATAAAACAGGTTAGGAAGATGATTGGCCACGTACTTGAGGCGCGCACAGGCACCATTGTTGACCTCAGCCAGCGAATTAAGGGCACTATACCTATGCATACATACGCATGGGTGTTCGTTTGTATTCTACACCAGCAAAGTGCTTTCGTTGAAATAAAATCACATATCATACTGTTGAGCGTTATTAACGCAAATGAGAGCATTAATTAACTAATAATATTTTTTTTTAATTTTTGGTTGAACTATGTATTTTTCAAATGTATGAACTTCAAATTCATATATCATTGATACACAGAAGATAAATATAACGGAAGCTTCAAGATCTTTGCACGCTCCAGGCATTCGCCTCGTTTTCGACAGTATTACTATTTAATGTGAATACTTGTATCATTTCATATTCATAGTTTATTTGTTCCTTTTGACAACTTGAAAAAGTGATTCAAGAGTCTCATATAATGTGTTCAGAATAGTCGCACCATTTTTTAAATTTTTCCGGACCCCCCGGCGCCCCTAGCATGGCGACCACCTTCAGTGATCGCGTTGCTCGCTCCTCGGATAGCACAACCACCAAAATAAATTTTACACCTCGCTGACCTTTTGGCAGGGGAAACACCATGTATCTATATTATATATATATTATTGTCTATATGATGACACTACTGATATTACTGGGTAGAGATGCATACCTAGTTCTATTTCAAATTTCTCACAAAAGCGTATTCCTTCACGACGACATGGCTATCCAGTGAACGGTTGGGGGGGGGGCTGTGTGGTGGGTGTGGGTAAAGTAGAATGAATGTTCCTTGGCAGATGCGTGTACCTGGCTCTCTCTCCAACACCATAAGGGTGTATCCCTGCACACGAGCAGGGAAATACAATGAACGGTGGGGTGCGGTGCATATGTAGGTGGGTAGAAGAATGGAATGGATATTACCAGAAGTAGATAATAGGGACTAATTCCCTAATTATCTACTTAAGATATTACTTAGCAGATGCACACCTGCGTCTCGTGCACGATCCTAGTTTGGCACTCCGCAAATGTGTTTTCGCAAATGTGCTAAACTAATCCGGGATGCTAAGCTAGGATTGGGCCATACTATCTCAACGATTCCATGAGGGTGTATCCCTGCACAACAGCAAGGAGATCCATGAATGGTGTGTTGTGGTGTAGGATGGAGTGGAATGAATATTACTTAGCAGATGCAGCAAACCCGACGTTAGACCTCACCAAGCTCTACGACTGTCACACGTCAGAGAAGGGAGCGCACACTGTTACCTTCTCGCCACGTATCGACAGGCGAGAAGGTAACTCGTGTCTAGCTCTAGAAGAACTATAGCCCTTCGCTCTGCCACAGGCTTGTGCCAGAGCGAAGGGCTATAGTTCTAAAGGTAACACGTGGGTAACCCGACGTCGGCTCTTTCGCGGCAAACTTACGAGCGATGCGAACGACTCCCTCGCGCCCATCGCAGACGCTGCGTGCAGACCCATGCTGGGGGCAGGGGGTCGCTCCGAGACCGAACCCCGTACTGATCCAGCTGAGACGCATGTAGGTCGCTACAGGACGCCCACTTCCACGATTGCGATTGGTCGAGACCCGGGGTCGCGTTGAAATCGAGACCCGGGGTCGCGTTGAGGTCGAGACCCAGGGTCGCGTTGAGGTCGAGACCCGGGGTCGCGTCGAGGTCGAGACCCGGGGTCGCGTCGAGGTCGAGACCCGGGGTCGCGTCGAGGTCGAGACCCAGGTCGCGTCGAGTTCAAGACCCGGGGTCGCATCGAGGTCGAGACCCTGGGGTCGCGTTGTGGCCGAGATCCGAGGTCGCTCCTAGGTTGAGACCCCGGGGTGGCGTCGAGGTCGAGACCTGGGGTCGCGTCGAGGTCGAGACCCGGGGTCGTGCCAAGGTCGAGACCCGGGGTCGCATTGAGGTCGAGACCCGAGGTCGTGTCGAGACCCGGGATCGCGTCGAGGTCGCAACGTTCACGCTAGCGCTCTAGAGTCTGGGTGTGCGGCGGGGCGGGGTCACGCCGACCTTCGACCCCTCGACCCCCGCGCGTCTACTTGTGGTTGAGCGCGAGGGTCGCATCGATGACGCCGCCGAGGTCGACAAAGTCCGTCATCACGAAGTTGATGTGCGTCGGCGACGCTCTCTTGTCGGCGAGCCACGACGCCATCGCCGGGTTGACCTTGGCCGCAAACGCGTCCTTGAGGTTGCTCGTCAGGTGCGCGAAGATGGCGGCGCCGTCGGGCGTCAGCACGCCCTGCGTGCAGTAGAAGGACGAGTCGGCGCGGCCGCGCGCGTACGCGTCGCTCAGCGCCGTCATCAGCTTCTCGAGCTTGGTGACGTCGGGCCACGGCGACGGCGCCGCCTCGCCCGGCCACACGGCGTCGGGCGTGCTCGCACGCGCACGCCGCGTGGTAGAAGACCGACGACTGCCGCCGCGCGTCCCACATCGCGGAGGGGGGGGGGGGGGGGGGGGGGGGGGGGGGGGGCGGGGGGGGCGAGGGGGGGGATGGAGGGCCGGTCGCTGGGCGGGCGGCGTCGCCCGCGGGGCGAAGGCGTCGCGACGTCGCGTGCGAGGTGCGCGAGCAGGCGCGCGTGCCTGCGCCGGCCCGTGAGCGTTCGTAGAAAGTGGCTGAAGTCGAGGAAGACGACCTCGCGCGGGTGCGCGTCGAGGCAAGGCGGCGGATGTCGGCGAGCGGCGTGCGCACGTCGCCGCCGTACAGGCCGTGCACGGCGAACAGCTCGTCGTCGCCGCGCCCCGCCCGCGCCGCCACGCGCAGGTCGAAGTAGCGCACCCCGGCGGCGAGCTGCTCGGAGACGCCGAGCGACTGCGTCACCGACCAGTTGTAGACGACGTCGCGGCCCATCTTGCCCATCGCGGCGACAAAGTCGCGGATCGCCGGCGCGAGGTCGGGCCCGAGGTCGGAGCCGCGCTGCAGCGTGTAGGTGAGAGAGTCGTGGCTGCCCGGCATCGCGAGCCCGTTCAACGCCACCTTGTGGAGGTGCGCAGGAAGCTGCGACATCCAGTCGGAGCGGTCGGCGGGGGCGGTGGCGGCGTTGGTCGCCATGGCGGTGGCGTCGGCGGCGCCCTCTTTGTCGCGACGCGGGTCGCAGCACAGCATTCACTCGTGCGTCGGCGTGGTGACGAGGCGCAGGGGTCGCTGACGGTGGCGCTCTCTGTCGCTGACGGCGGCGCTCTCTGTCGCTGACGGCGGCGCTCTCTGTCGCTGACGGTGGCGCTCCCTGTCGCTGACGGCAGCGCTCTCTGTCGCTGACGGCGGCGCTCTCTATCGCTGACGGCGGCGCTCTCTGTCGCTGACGGTGGCGCTCCCTGTCGCTGACGGCGGCGCTCCCTGTCGCTGACGGCGGCGCTCTCTGTCGCTGACGGCGGCGCTCTCTGTCGCTGACGGTGGCGCTCCCTGTCGCTGACGGCGGCGCTCCCTGTCGCTGACGGCGGCGCTCTCTGTCGCTGACGGCGGCGCTCTCTGTCGCTTGCTCGCGCGCGCACTCTCTCTCTTCTTCTTCCTCTCCCTTTCTGTGTCTCCCTCCCTCTCTCTTTCTGTCTCTGACACACGCACACACACGCAGGTAGAGGTTCTTGCACGCCGAGTATCACAGACACCTTCCTTCGCGCTGGCTCACTCACAGAAGTTCCTTTCTCGTGTGTCTTCCTCCCTCGCTCTCCCTATCGTTCACTTTCCGCCGCTGCCTCTCACTCACTGCCGCTCTCCGTCTCTCTCTAGCTTGCCTCGCTCACTGCGCTCAGCCCTGCGCGCTAGCGTCTCTCTCTCTCTCTCTGCGCTCTGATCACTCAATGAATGGCACGTGACGGGGCTCGGCAGCGCAACCGGTCACCGCTCTCTCTCTCTCTCTCTCTCTCTCTCTCTCGTTCGCTCGCTCGCTCGCTCGCTCTTTCTCTCTCTCTCTCTCGTGCGCGAGAGGATGTGCCGGTGGCTGTTGGTGCATGCGCGCTCGCCTGTCTGCCTGCCTGCGTGCGGAGGGTAATGATGATACTCGCAGCGGTCGGCGGACGCGATCCATCGTCGGGAGCCTCAGCGCGCGGGCCTACGGGGTTGCCTGCCGTCGGCGCGCAGTCGTACCTGAGGAAATAGATTAGGATGGCGCGGGTAATAATGCGCCGTGATGGGTTTCTCCTTCGTGTTCCGCTTACGGGAGAGAATGCGGCCGACGGTGGGGAGGGGGAGGGAGAACACAAATAATTGGCCGCCTGCCAACTTATCGATTTCGCCATGTGGCTCACTGTAGCAGCCGAGGGGTTCCGGGTGTTTGTGAGCACGCTCAGGCCGACGTACCCTGACGCGGCGACGCCCCTAAACGCGAGTAGCGCGGGGCGACGTCGGCGCGCTGCGCTCAGGGTAGGCGGATGCAAGCTTAGCGATAGGGCTTCTCTTGTTTAGAAATTGATGAATAAGACGGATTGTAACCGGCGAAGGTAAAGTCCGTAAACGCGCGGCGATTACGGGCAGGTGAGGTGTGCGCCCGCAGCCCGCTGTGTGTGCTGCGCCCGCTGCCGCCATGTACACTACTAGCATATTACACCGTTGTGTACGATAGAAACCATAGTATTGTACCCTTATGCACAATGCAAACTATAGCATAGCACCTTTATGTACAATACGAACTAAAGTATTGTACCGTTATGTACAATACAAGCTATAGTATTGTACCCTTATGCACAATGCAAACTATAGTATAGTGCCGTCATCACAATACAATCATTAGTATTGGACAGTTATGAACAATACAAACTGTAGTATTGTACCCTTATCAGCCTTATGTACGATACGACTATTAGTAGTGTACTATTATATGTACAATGAAGACATTAGTATTCTACTGTTATGAACGGTACAAACGATAGTATTCTACCCTTATGAACAATACAAACTGTAGTATTGTGCCGTGGTATTGTATGGAGGGTGCATAACCTTATGTGTGATGCAAACTAGTATTTTTGATGGGGGTGTTATGTACGACACGAACTAGTATTATTGCATCAAGAGCTTATAATATCTCATATTATAAGTATGGTATTATTACTAGTATTATAAGCTCTTGATTGCATCCATGGCAGTGCGGTTACGTACGCCGCAACCTAGTATTGTTACAAAGGGGGTAGGTTTGTTGTTTGTTGTTTGATAATACGATATGATACAATTTGATAATACACGTTGATAATACAATATGATACAATGATGATACAATACGCCGCAACCTAGTATTGTTACAAGGGGGGAGGGATGATAAGGTGGGTAGGTTTGTTGTTTGTTGTTTGATTGGCACGATACGATTTCCACCCGCGGGTGCGCACCTGTGCTTCTTCGCATCCCACACTTCGCCCCGGGAGCGGAGTTATTTTTCCCACGAGAGTTCCGGATACACCATAGATAGTGTTTTGTACGATGCGTTTGTATATAAGCGTGTGAGTCGGTTTAAATCTAGTGTTAGGGTTAGTGGTAAGGATAAGGTGACATTTGTTTCATTTTTCATTGTTGCTTCGAGGAAGTCGAGTGAATGGAGTGCGCTGATTGGCTGTATTCCGGAACTCGCGTGGGGAAAAAAATTGTGCGACCCGGCAGCCTGTTGTTCCAGTTATTCTCCGCTAACAAACAGAGTCGCACGTTGATTGGCGGAGATGTGTACGTGACATTCCACCTGGAGGCCTCGATGATTACTACTGGCGATGATGCTTATTGTGTGACATACGAACCTCATCGCGAGTTTTGGAAAATGATATAGGAGAGCGTTTTATTACAGCGATTGCTATGAAGGTGTACTGTTTGACCTGACCGTCGATTTCTCTCGCTCCGTTTCTTCCTTTGCCCTCTTCTTTCTCTGCCTCAGTA